AATAGCAATTTGAAGCAAAATCTTGGCTTAATAAAGGTTTTATAGAGGAGAACAGAAAACATGCAGAACAAAAAACAGAAAAAACACGCAGAACAAAACAACACGCGGAGCAAAAAAAAATCGTTCCGGGTATCTATAAGCACGGGTGTGTTTATAAACACGATTAGATCTAAAGAGATATACAGTTGACTTGAGAGAATTCCTTGAAAGGAACACCATATCAAATCAATAGAATCAGCGGGAGCTTGAGCTCTCCTCCTTTGGAGAAGGCTCTGTGTTTTTATTTAATACACACACTTTCTGAAACATAAGTTATACATAAGATACACCACGAAATCCTACGGTTTACATATTACATGTAGGGGAGGGGGTCGGAGGGGGCGATGGCTCTTCGAGGAAAGGGTTGTGGTTTTTTCCCCCACCCCGCCAGGGTCTATTTCCTTCTCTGTATATGGCCCATTCCCCTAGCCATTAGTCCTTGTCCTCAGCTCCTCCATGTATGTATCCTAGCCTTTCGGAGTAATCTCTTTTCCCACAAACCCAGCAACCTAGAAGCATCTCGCAAAGAACTGATTGCATGATACTTAGATAGGCAACTTCTCGTGTGACCGTAGATTATGAGGATTTCCACAATGTACAACCCTATATGTAAAATACGGAGGAAAAAATGGAAAAACAAATAATTCCCGGCCAAGAAAAGCAGGGGGAAAAAAAACTAAAGAAATGAAAAAACGAAAAGAAACAGAAATAATTAGCAGGTTTGAAGTGTTTCATGTTTTTGATTTTTTAGTTTTTGACTGTTTCGCTGATCTTGGTTCGATTGTTCAATGTTGATACTTTTTTAGGTTGTTTGGCTGTGTGCTTTTGTTTTTGTTGTTTTTTTAATTCCCCACATCTACTATGGAGTTCTAATTTTTTGGATGTGGCGTCGCCCGGCACCTGCAGCATGCTCTTCCGTCGCGCAAACATTTTGAACGCGCTCCGGTTTTTTTAAAGAATCGCGCTCTCGCTTGAAACATCCTCAAAAAAAAACAATGTTTTGATGTCCATGATGGATCCAGCTGAGAGGCCAGATTGCCTTTAAAGTAGTCTTGCTAGGGGGGGGTCGTAAGCGGTCTGGCCGCAAAGTTGATGTTCGAAAATCGCGCTCTCGCTCGAGACATCCTCAAAACATCGTGTTTTTCGGACTTCATAAAAAATCAAGAATTGCGCTCTCGTGCGAGACAGTTGGGCCTCTGAACATCTTCATGTTTTCAAAATTCGTGCTCTCGCTCGAGACGTCCTCAAAAAATGAACGTTTTTATATCCATGATGGATCCGGCTGAGAGGCCAGATTGCCGTTAAAGTAGTCTTGCTAGGGGGGTGCCAAGGCACACGGAAAGACGCTTCGGATGTTTTTCCACAAGCTCCCAATCCTTGTTGATGCTGGAAGGCCATGATTGCACAATCGCTGGAAGCTTGTGCCAGAGGGCAAGAAGGCTGGCAACTTGCAGCATGCGGAAAACATGAACAAGGACAGGGTTGGCACAAAGCAACAGCCGCAGGTCACTCCTGAACCAGCATGTTGTGATCGTCGAGGTCGTTGTCCAACACGGTCGCCATGAGCGTTCGCGAAACCACTGAATGACAAAAAATGCGTTCTGCACCCTCGGCCCAAAGTCAGTTGCATTGTTCAGAATGAAAAGATGAGGAAAGACTGGACTCATGTTTTTAGGACGGGATGGTGTGCCTGGGCACATCCCCACGCTGGACGGCACCAAGTCCAACCCCCTTGGTGGGCTGGGTGGTGCCATACACCTAAGTAGGCAAGGTATCCTGTAACTGAAAGACCCCCTTAATAGAAAATTCCCCCAATAGCCCAAGCTCATAACTGACCGCTGGACCCACCAATTACATGGGATGTTACTACAATTACTTAGCAAAATGCTATCTAGGCATCCACCACACCACTCCGCCTTTAAAATACTGGGAATGAGCATCGCTTTCAAAGACGTCGTTGAAGTCTTGGACCCAATCTCTCCATACAAGTTGCGGCTCTAGCGCGTTGCGATGGGAGGGCACCGAAAGAGTCATGTGAGCATAATCGAATCATGTCATAAACATTCAGAGTCTGCATTTGTAAATGGAATGTGTTCTGTCTGTTCTGTGTGTTGTGTGATGTTGTGTGTGTTCTGTGATCTGCTTTGAAGCCGGTGCAGGAGCCGGAGGCGGCTGCTGTGAAAGACTTCAACATTCCCCGGACCTCTTCTTTCCGTCTCTTCTCAATCTCAACAACTCAAAACTTCTCATGCCCGTCTCTGGCTTCCGTCGCTGGCTTGGCCTCGCTTCTTCGGCTTGGGGCGGCGGAGATGCTCGTGGTGGCAAAAGACGCAGGCCTCCAGCGATTCACAGCCATTCAGCAAGAAAAGGCGGTTGAAAGGTCATCTCTTGTGAAAGTTCTCTCGACTCTCATTTTACTTTTACTCTACCGACTCTACCTCACTGCTTCCTTTCTCCCTACTTTCCCTCTTCGCCTCGCCATGCTGGCAGCCGCGCAGGGAGTAGCAGTGGAAGGAGCACCTCAAAGCGCGCTGCTGACATCTAATTGGAGTTTTCTTCAGAAGCTCCGAGATGGAGATTCGGGGCCTCATACAAGTGGGTCTTCGATTTGGGACTGCACACTGGCGTACGCAGGCGAATCCCCCTGGAAAAAATCTATGTCCATGGTCTGCAAAGGGAGATCAAGGCCATGGCGGCGTGCATCCGTCAGGATGCAGCTGACTTCCCACGCTGGGCACAGGCACTCGGTCGGCCTGTACTTCAAGGCTTCTGCAGCTCGAGCAATTTTGCAAGCAAGACCTGGGGGATTTGGCCTCTTGAAGCACGGGCTTCTGTCCTTCGTCGGCCAAAACCTCAACTTACTAGCCGGAACTAGCTAGAGCCAAATGTCTTTAAACGCCTTGTCGTGTAGCCAGTCCGCCTGGTCCTGAATCAAGAACATGGAAGACTGGCAAGTGTCCTACTCCTCCTGGACAATGCGGTTTTCAGGGACACGGGGCATTGGCACTCTGTCGAAGTCGACGGGTGCACTGCACCATGGCATCCAAAAATGCTTGTTTGATGAAGCGAGAAAGACCGTGTACCGAAATGAAGTGAGTTGTTCTTTCCTGGTGGAACCAGCGACCTTCACGAAGCAAAGCAAGAAAGGTCGAAGGGGATCTTGCGTCATCATCATGCTCGCCACAAGAAGGATCTGCCGAGGAGTTGCTGCTCTGGCAACACAGTTGGTCACCGGTCACTGCGGTCTCACAAATCCTGGCAAAGCCTCACGTTTCCACCCGGCCATTGCTTGCACATTTCTTGAGCAGATTTGGAAGGAGAGTAATCATTCCCTATAGTACATCCCAAAATCCAAGGGCTGTCATGAAAATGATTGAATCATGATGACACGACAGCATAGAGACCAGCACGAGGGGCTGTAGAGGTTTCACCACTGCAACGTTTTGCAGCGTTTACCTACACTTGTCCATCGTGGCTGCTCGAGGAACTAGACTGAGCAGGTGCGCACCACATTGACAGTACAATGAAGAGGGGTTGGCTTTGTTCCGCAGACACGTCCCACAAGTTGAAACACGTAAGCCTGAACAAGTTCCTGCATGTGTGCTGCAGTGCCAGTGTGCTCCAAGAGTGCGCAGGACCCCACAGACCCCACGTCCTTCAGGATCTTCAGTGTCTTGGAGAATGCCTCGCCGGTCTAGTCAGCGGAACAGAACTTCGAATGTCAAACATCTTGCAGCCTCACCATCCGTTGAGCTAGCACCTTTCCAAGGAAACATGGAAAGCAGGCAGGTTCTCAGAAATTGTCGTGCCTTCGACCTCCAGGATAGAATCTGACACAGCTCTCCGAAGCGGCCTGGTTTGTTGGAATCACTTTACACAGGCAAATGCGCCTGTGGCATTTGTGGCGTCTTTGGTCCCGACCCCTCATCTTCCTCTTGCACCTGGTCGCCGTCTTCTCACTAGGTGCAACAAGGAACTGGGGCGACCTCCAGAAACGTGTTCTTGGTCGTTAGGCTGTTCTTCGTCTCCAGTGAGGCAAAACATGCATGTGCCTCAAGGCTTACCCTCACAGCAGAACTCAAGACGTCAGAACTAGACCTGGGACCGGGCGTGGCCGTATTCCTTAGCTTTGAGACCAAAGGAAACGCCCCCGGCATACGTTGCAGGCATGCCGGTCCTTGCGGAGCAGCCAGGCTTTCTGGTCAAAATCTTCGAGCACCTGGCAAAGCCAAAGATGTGGCCCGAGGCTCCAAGGCAAGTCCACGAGTCCACGAGCAGTCCTCGAGCCTGCAGGCGGGACAACACGTCCTTCTGGGCGTGCAGGATTGCGGAGACCTTCGCACAGCATCCTCCACCCAGGAAACCACCCTTTGCCCTGCGAGTTCACAACAAAGTCGCTCGCAGCTCTGTTGGAAGTTGGATTTAGGCCCGCACGATCGTGTCCAGCTCGAACTCAACCAGCCGCTGTACATTCGCTCGGCTGTCGCTTTGCTGATGGGTCATGTCTGCCTGACGCAATGGTCCGGCACGTGGCTAGATGCCACCATGCAGCCAACGAAGCCTGGAAGCCAAGCATGTAAAAGATGGAACCAACACGTAGCGTATGGATGGACACAAAGTTCAGGAATACCTGCAGACGGAAGGAAAGGAGGTGAGGGAAAGACAATCTCAAGATGAGACGTCCTGGCCTGCCCGCTCTTGCGGCGGTTCTGGAGGAGGCCGGCAAAGCTTCCTTGACTCCGCACACAGGAACGGAGTCGCAAACGGTCCTCCCACGGCATATCCCACAGCACTCACAAGCCCTCATTTGCTGGCTCTTGTTCCCAGTCCTCCTGTGGAATCGCACAGCCGCGGTTCAGGAACCGGCAATTCCTCGTCAAAATTCTGTTGCTCCATCCATGCCAGCCTTCCTGCTTTCTGGCCTGCCAAGTACTTCATCCCGGGCATAGCCGGTCAGCTGCTGGAATCCCTGCAGCCCACGGCTTCTCAAGCCCAACTTTCGGTAACTTTCATGGCATGCCTGGCTGACGCCAACAAGTGGGCAATCAGGCTCCTCACGAACGCTGTGCGTGCGGAAGACGAGGATGCTTAGATTGGGATGATTGGGTCAAACCCTTCTTGCGCTTTTGCGCTTGAACCCCTCCTCGGGCTGGGCGAGTGTCACGGAGATGCTGGTGTCCTGTAATGAGCCCACGGCCAGGGCTTCGCAAAACCCAGAGAAGTTGCCATCCTGTCCAACGGCTGCCAGCTTAAGAGATTTGGCAAACGCCGGTGCTTCCCACAATCAGAAGCTAAGCTTAGGGCCTTGAAGTAGCCCATCGCCTTGAAGGGGTTGCTCCGTAAACTACAAAGTGCGCCAAGCCCTGTCTCAAACCTTCGCCACAGATCGGCCATAGCTGCGGCTCGGCCGTTTTGCTCCGGACCTGAAGAACGAAGAACGAAGAACGAAGCGGGTACAAGCACGGAGGTCAGAAGAGAAAGCAAGGATTGGTGTTAATCATTGTTAATCTCTCGGGCTGAAGCTCTTCATCTCCATCTCCAAAGCCCGGCATCACCCATGGCCCCGTTATCGTGACGGCACAGGCCCTTTGCCGAGCACTTCTTAAACCTGCTGCTCGCCAACAAGCCGCTGTGTAATTACTCCCACAAGATTGGCTGCATCTGCATGGGAAGCTGATGCAGAACGACTTTTTGAAGCTCCCTGAGGTCAAAAGCCTGGGGGCGCTGTGCTCTCAGCCTCACCGGGCTCTCGCCAGACGGCTTCCGGGGGCCAAGTTAAAGGCTTCTGTGTACAGAGAGGGCAATCCTCTTCATCCCAAAACGGCACAGCACGGTTCCAGGCGCCATCTCATAATCAACTCCTTCTGACCTGTTCGCTCTTCCTACATTGGTTTGAAAAGGAGCCCGTACTACGAGCTGCGTGTTGCTCTGCTGCAGCAGGCGTGCAACGAAATGGCTCATAAGCGGCCCCTTCTTTTGTTTCCTTTTGTGGGCGCAGGGACTAGCATCTTACAGCCTTGCACCTCTTTGCAGCATGATCTTCTGTCCCTTGCCTGAGACATCGCTCTTAGCCGGTCCTTTTGACAGGAAAGAGCCTGGCTCTTCAGCATTCAGCGTCGCGTTCCGTGCTCCGTGCAAAGCGACCTGGGCGAGCACGGAACTTTATGCGTTTCCGCAACCCCACAGGCCCCACAGCCTTGCAGCACATGTCCAAGACTTCAGAGCCATCTCTCACGGCACTCATCGCGGTCATCAAATCCAGCATTGCATGGCAGAGTCAAGCTTTTGAACGTAAACATCAAATTAGCTGTCGAAACCCTCAGAAGAAAGCTGAATGGTCTGCATGGACTATCGAAAGCCTTAAACTGTTCCGTCCATCTCACCAGCAAACTATCAGCCAATTTGCTGTTCTTACATCCGTCGAACCAAGCAGTGAGGAAACCGTGACACGAACCCTCGGCGCAGCTTCTCTCAAATGGCATGCAAGTGAAATCTGAACCCTGCCGGACGGGAAAATGAGCAGAAATCCAGGTCTGATTCTGATTTGAATTGCGGAGATGTCGAACCAAAACAATCCGATGCCACCTCAATGCAGCAAGACATAGCTACTGCACGAAATGTGCCGAGGCTTCACTCGTCCTAGCACTGTGCTGTGGCAGCAAGGGGAAGGTTCCAAGGCAGACTGGGACAGAGGCTGTGCGGGTAGAAGGAGGTGCAGAACTTCCTCGAACATGCTTCTCCACAAGACGTTATGACGAAAAAATATTGTGAGGCAGGCACCCACCTTTCATCAGTGTCAAGAAGGCCCTCTGCAGCCTCCGGTTCAAGCATCACCCAATCGTCCTGGCAAGCCCATCGAAATGCTTGCAATCACTTAGCTTGGTGCAACTGGACGGCCTCTTCTTCTGTTTCTGCTTCCGTTTCTGGCTGCGAGCTCTCGCCCAAAGTTTCGGGCGGGCACTGGGAGGCCTCTACCTTCCAGGCCTGCTGCGCCTCAGAGAAGACAGAGGTTGGGAGCACACTGGGAACAGGCCGAGCCTTCCTGCCTCGCTGAGCTCGCTGAGGTTTGCATCAGCACGCAGCTTGGCCCCTTCAAGCCACACTCAGCGTCAAGTTATTCTAACAGCGCGCTGCGCTCGACGCATGCCATGCTTCCCAATTGCCTGCGACCAGCAACGAGGCGGCTGCCAACTCAAAAAACGGCATTCTGCTCTGTGACCCTTGAGCCAGCTCCGCAACGTGTAACGGCAGAAACTCTGCAGCTCAGCTCAAGCGCAACAAGTGCCCAGACGATCTTGCGTATTTGCCCGGGGTTTTCGATGGGATAAACTTTGCTGTGTTCCATCTTATTCAGGAGTCTTGGGCTGTCTAAGGACACTCCACGGAAACGGCCCAAGAATCTGAGCACACGTTGGCGCGCCGAACCCCAATCTGGGAGTTCTCAGCAAACTGCGCTGTCCTCAGCAGGCGGGGTAAAAATTATCAACGGATGAAAAAATTGGATAAGGAAGCAAGAAGAACTTGACATGATTGAAAATCTTGCCTCTGGTCGAAGATATACTGCAAATTCGAGCTGTGTGGAGGCTGCAACTATGGTAGATTGCCGCACTTTGCGCCGCGTAGAAGCTGCACATATTGTAAATCGCAGCATTTTGCCTCACTTACAAACAGCAGTAAATTGCTGCATCATCACAGCCACCACCCGCATCATCATCACCGTCATAAGTCAAGATGTAACAGGTAAACTAGCTGAACACAAGCACACCAGCAAACCCAAAGTTCACTCACTCCTTTTGTCGTCGAACGTTGTAACTCAAAGCCCAGCTCAGCGGTTGCAGAGTGTCCAAGTGTAAATGGCACAACGGAATACCTCCCTACATCAGTAAGCCTCTTAGGGAACTTGAGCCAAATTACAAGGTACATTCCGCATATGGTTGATTAACAGCTACCTAGCACAACAGTGGGTAGGGCAGAATCCATACGAATACACACCCCCCACGTTGAGTGATTTGTCATGTGAAACGCCTGCAGGAGCTCCGATCTTTTACATCACAATTCTAGGAAGCAATCAATGCCAAGCATGAGCACATATTGAGACATATGACCCGAGAAGATCTCAGAGGTCATCAGGAATCATGAATCCATTGTGAAACATAGGCAGGCACGCTCAGGCGGCACATGGAAGTCATGTAGCAAAAGTGAGCATGTGGCATCGGGAATATCCCAGAATGCTGCCTCCCGTAGCACACCAAAATGGCGATCGGGGAGCGCGCAATCGCTTAATCCATCATGTTGACATCGATGGGGAACTCAGCCGCATAGGATTCTCCAGACACAACCTGCTCGGTGCTCTGCAAGAGACCCTGGCGAAATGCCGAAGTTCTGGCATTGTTCTTCCACCTATCCATGTCATCTTTCATCTTCTTGTCCCTGAGTGAGCCGTTGATGGTCTTGATCACCACTTTGTCGTATTGCTTCTGGTACTCCTGGCCAAGCTGAAGACCCATCTGTATGGCCAGGTATAGAAGTTCTGGATCAAGGCGCTGGCGTCGTTGTTGGCCCTCGAAAAGACCCTCTAGACAAATGTGACACACGCCGTCCACGGTCCGCTCTTCTGGAAAGTGTTGGTACCCCACATAGCGGTACTTCTTGATTCCGAGCGCATTCGATAGCAACGACCTCACTCTGGAACTAATCATGCTTCGCTGACCTTCTCCTTGATTCGGACGAATCTTCCTGAAACCATCGTTGTTGACCGCTATGAACGGAGTCAAGAACTCTTGACGTTCATAGTCGTGTAGGCCCAGAGAAAGATGTTCCACATCAACTCGTGGATCTTGATGACTTCATAGCAGATGTCCAGATTCTCGCAAGCGAGCAAGGAAGAGTCCGATGTTGTGAAACCCTTCTGAGACATCCCCTCATTCCGGACTGCCTGATAATTCTTCCTCCCCTCCCCGTTTGCCCATGCCATGTATTCATCCTTGGTGGGTGCTCGGGGCAGCTTCGTGACGGTGTCGATGATAGTAGGACAGAAGTACTGTCTTTTGGCAAACGGAGTGAAGCATTCATCCGCTTTGGCCTGCATCTCGGTGAAGCTGAGGGAGAGGTAGTCATCAAGAATCTCACAACGTTGGAAAATAACATATCCAAACAACTCGTCAAACGTCTTCCCAATTTCTTCGGTGTTGAGGCAAATAACTGGTGGCTCTTGCGCAACATCATTGGATATGGACAGGTACTCTTCCGCGAAGTCCACCTTCTCACCATACTCGTCGACCGCCTCATCAACTTCCATGAGGTTGTCATCGCCAATGATTGCTTCAACGTTGGCATCGTCCTGACCTTCATCGGTCTGAGCTGGCTGAGCGCCTTCTTCTTGTTCTTCAACTTCAGGCTCCACACCAACATTGATTTCTTCCATGCTTTCATCAGCAATCACAATGAGAACCTCTGAATCAAGAGAGCGGGGCTTACCCAGGCTACCCTGGTCCATGAATCTCCCAACTGATACCAAGAGTGCGTTGCGTTGCAAGCATCTGATGAGGGAAGCTGGGATCACATTCAGGCACCAAGGTGATAGCCCGCGTCATGTGGTTGATGAGCTCTTTTGCCTGGGTCTCAGTTGGCACTTGGCACGCCATTCTGGACCTTGTGCAAAATCAGCGCGACGTTGTTGCGGAAAGTGAAGGGAATGTCAATGTCGGATTTGTACGCATCAGCGGCCTTCATGACATAGCGTTCGCTAGCTTTCATGCAATCCTCACCCTGCATCGTCTCACACACGTACTCGTCAACAAGAGAGGCGACTGTAGCCTTGGGCCCATTTCGCACGCTGGCTGTGTATGGGACCTTGTCACGACAGAGGATCATTCCATTTGAGGCAAGTCGGGCACCCGTCTCCTTGAGGATAGTGATTGGCACATAAATAACCACGCCCTTCTCTCCCTCATTCGTGAACCTGTACGTGAAAGTTGAGCGATAGCGGGAATCCCATGGAGGAAACGCAGAAAAGTGGATATCCATCCTTTTGTGACCCGGCCCCCAGGTAGTAGTCCTTGCTTTGGAATCCACATGAAGTTATAGCGGCTGGTCACGGTCATGAGATCTAAGTCCACAGCGCCATTTGAATATCCTGAGATGCACCTTACAGCGAGCGGTCTAACCCAGCCCATGTAAGGATGTGCCTTCGCTGCTGCGGCCCCATTGATCTCTGGGCCTTCGACAAAGGAACTCTTCAATTTGGCAAACGCTGCATCAGTGATATCAGGGTGTACCCGTGCGCCCGTGAACTCCATCCTCTTCTTATTACGACCCCAATTCCAAATCTCGTTGTCGATGATGAGAGCGATGAGCCAAGTCCTGTTGTACATGAGCTCATCCAATGCTGGAGGACATCCATCAGTCACGGTCGCTTTGTCGTAGCATATCCTGTAGCCTGAACCTTTGCGGTGATCATGCCATGCTTGATGAGTTCACGATGTACATCTCTCCAAAAGTCATCATCCCGTACAAGTTCATCAATGGGAGCCCATCCACCTCTGTCTATGTTGGTAACAAGGGAACCTCTCAGAAACTCGTGCCTCAGCCAAATGGAGAGCCGCTTCCGGCGTGGTATATCTCGTCATCATAGAACGCGCATCCAGCTTCATCATAAACCCCCAATCGATGACACGCGTCGTCCAAGAACTTGACGCGACCAGTGCCATTGTCAATCAATGGCGCGATCACATTTGGATGTTCTTCCTTACCAAGATATCGCGATGACCCTCCATAGTCATAGTCATTCCTATCCTGGTCCTCCTCCCTTTGAAGCGTGGCAACCAACGCTTCCATCACCCTTAGGCTGCGGACTCTTCCAGACAGTGGGGGCCTTCCCCTCGTCCAATCTAATCCACCTTCAGAGGTAACAAAGTGGGCGGAATTGAAAGGTCTGGGTGTTGCGTACTACATAAATTGCGGGACCTGGTTCTTCAATTGCTGGACATTTGCCATGACTCTTGACTTTGACTCCCGGGGCTATACCCAGAGGAGAGACATCTTCATCCTCAGTAAGAAACGCCACTTTCTTGGTAGTTGTCGGCTCATCATCAGACATCTTGTTTGACGTTGTCTTCTTAATGGGGCGTGTCCGAAGCTGCGGTGTCTCCTCAGGAAGAATGGTAGGAGGTTCATCTCTCTCTCTCTCTCTCTTCCGTAGGGTCTGGACCCTCCATCTCCACATCTGTAGTTTCTTGAGGTTCTGCAGCATCAAGTTGGATCTGGACGTTGTTCATGTCTTCTTCTGCGGCGTCAACATCCATGTCCTCACCACTAGCTGCCATGTCGGGTTCCGCGGCAATGGCTGATGTTGACCCCGCAGGCACATCTGCGGGCGGTGGAGCGCCCCCAGCGTGCATATGAGCCAATGTGGTGTAAAGGGCTTCGCCTTCAGCTGCCCGTGGGCAAGAATGGTCAGGATGTTGAATCCAGCACACAGGACAAACCTTGATGGCATCAGCTTGCATCATCAGCTCCTCCAGCATAGCCCCGATCCTACGTTTCTTTGTTGAAACCGGCGTTTCGGGAGCTCTTGACTCATCAGGAGCATCTTGCTCTGCCTCTGTTTGGGGTGACGCAGTGGCCATCTCTTCGCGCTCTGCGTCATCCTCTTCGGCAATGTTGGCATCGACCACACCAATATCCGCAGAAAAGTCAGTGACATCACCCTCAGGCTCATCTTTGACGATCTGGGTTGGCTCGATTGGTCCATCCTTCATCTTCTTGAGGACTGCGTAGTACTCTTCCATAGTGATGATCACGGTTGGGGTACCCAAGACCGTGGCAAGTGCCTTGCCCATCTCGGTCACCTCATTGGTAGAAATGCATCCAGTCGACACGGCAAAGGATCTGATTGAGTGTTCCAATCCAGCGTAGTTCTCAAATGGGTCGCCCCAAAATCGAAATTGCACCGGGTAGATGCTGGAAAAATAAAGCGTGGCCAAGCATACCTCCACTGCGTCGCCAGCTCTCTCGGACATCTGATGAAGCCCCAGTTGGAGAGATCCTTTTCGGTCTTCGTGCCCCTGACAGCGGAGTAAACCACGATCATCCACTCGATGAAGTCAATGTCAAGGGAGACAATACGCCCATCGAGAGGTGAATTGAACATGTCCTGCTCCATCAACGCGAGAAGGATGCCTGCCAACTCCCTTGCCGTGCTCTTAAAGTTTCATAAATCGTTTTCTCGT